TGTATGTTTGTATGTATGTATGTATATGTATCGTATGTATGTATGTATGTATATGTATATGTATCGTATGTATGTATGTATGTATGTATGTATATGTATCGTATATATGTATGTATATGTATCATATGTATATGTATCGTATGTATGTAGTATTGATGATGTTGATCCTGTATACATTTTGGTTTCCGTTTGTGAAACATGCTTCGGTAACATCTGCAGATGGACAAGTTCAGAAAAAGCAAAAATAAAATCACTGGAGATTTAAGGCTTTTCTTGATGTGATGAGGACGAGAGCATTTACAGTAACATTTACAGCCATGTGATGTACACAAACACACACACTCACACACACTTCTCTTCCTCCTCTCCGTCGTTTCATGTCAAACACACCGACACACGGAAAACACTCACGAAGCCCACATGCACGCAGAGAACATACATGACACGCTGGTGCATCAGCCCAGAATGTCCAGGTAGACGGGCGAGGCCTTGGCGAGGCTCTGGAGCATGCTGTGGATCTCCTTGATGTTGAGCCTCATGTAGGGCTCCCTCTGCCAGCAGCCCAGCATCAGGTCGTACACCTCTTTAGGGCAGGTGCGGGGCCGCTGCAGCACACGGCCCTGGGTGATGCACTCAATCACCTGCAGGACACAGGGGGACAATAACTGTCTGCTGCTTGTCTGTGATGTTTAAGTGGGAGCAATGCAATAGATATGACTGATGATGGAATGAAATGTGACATCAGATGGGGAAGGGATGCAAACCAAAATCAATTTTACTGATAGAACATTTTATTGACAAGCAATGCTCACATAAATAAATTGCCTTTTAAGTTTTTCTGCTTTTACATCATGATAGTAATTTCGTTTATTTATATGTTTATTGTGTGTGTGTGTGTGTGTGTGTGTGTGTGTGTGTGTGTGTGTGTCACACTCCTGCTGCAGCTCCGACCTGTGGACCATTTTGTTACGTGGGCCAAATCAGCAGAACAAACTATATTGGTTGTCTGTAATATATTTGGCTGTATTTGTGTTTTCTCTTTCTTTATGTTTTTGTCTGCCTGTCTTGTCATTAGGGCGTTTTTGTTGATTTCTCACAGAATAATTCATGAATCTTGATGAAAAAAGAGGGAGGCGCTCTCTAGTTTATTCTAGTTTATAATAATAACATTTATAGTTTAACTGTAACACATCAAGCCTCATTGTATTTTGTCATGGGTTTCAATTACATTTTTTAATATATATACATATATATGCCAGAGTGAGACCATCAGGACCAGGTCTCAGAGTGTTAGTGTTGGACATGAATCTGACGGTGGATATAAGTGACCTAACTGAGCTTTGTGATCATTGCGACAGAGTCTGACCTCATTGTTGGAGAGCTGGTACCAGGGCTGTTTGCCGTATGTGAAGATCTCCCACAGCACCACCCCTAGGCTCCACACGTCGCTCTCCGTGGTGAACCGCCGGTACATGATGCTCTCCGGGGGCATCCAGCGGATCGGCAGCATCGTATGACCGCCCACCTGCAGAGCGAGAGAGAGAGAGAGGGAGTGAAAGGGAGTGAGAGAGCAGTCCTTTTAGAAACCATCACCACAAGACCTGCTAAAGATTGAGTATGAAGTTGAGACTGTTTTTGTTGGAATATTTTTAGACGCAGTAGAGTCAAAGCGTTACACAGGACTTTAAAAAAAAAGATCTAATCAGCCATTATTGATATAGATGGAGTTGACATAATAGAGGAACAGCTGTCAGTGTAAATATCAGCAGCACAATTCATCAGCACAAACTGCAGCGACCAAAATGATCTGAACACCTTCATATGACAGTTTCAACCAAAAACACAAAATCCCTTTAATTAGAACTCTTTAAGGTCAGATCGTTACTTCACCTTCACAAACTTATTTTCACCATCACCAAATTATCAAATGTGCAATACTTAAGCCAGTTTCAGAGTTTTGGCCAAATCATGATAAAAACAATTTTAACATGAATATAATCAATGATGTTTCCTCCATAACTTTTACTTAAAGAAATATTAAACTAGGAAGGGGAAAAGAATCCTCCAGCATAATTACTTCTAAGACAATCTCTAATTGTCGCACTTCCGAAACAACAATTAAGAATCTGCTGTTGTGAATGAAGAATAAACAATTTCAAATGAAGCCACAAGAATATTAAAAACTCTCTTCACCAGTGTTTCAATTCCATCTTCATCTTATAAAATACAAATTAACATTAGAGGGCTTTTTTTTTTTTTCAGTGTAATCCTGGTTTCATTCACTGCAAATGTTTCTGTTGCATTTATATTGGTTTTCCCGACTGATCTAATTCATGATGTGATTTCCTGTGATTTGCAGAATAATAGCAGCGATACAGCGAAACAAGACAGTGTTCATGCTGTGAGCTGCGTTCATGCTTTTGCTTTGTCTCTGATCAAAACATTTGATATGAGGAGTTGGTGACAGGACTTCTTTATGTTGATCTGATGCAGGCTCATGCATCTTCAAGTTGTTTTTATGTTTTAATAATTCCAGTTTGGCCAGAAGAGGGCACTGTGTGATTCAAACTGGGATCTGAGACAGAGAGAAGGAGGAGATGAAATGCTTCCATCTGTTCCTCAACATGACACATTTTAATTTTTTTCAAGTCATTATAAAAAAGTGTAATCTCCTCACAAGCATCAGAAGACCATAGCATACATCATAACCCCTCAGAGTTTTAATATGAAGCTGCTCAGGAAGTGTAGAGAGGCATTAACTTCATGCCCAGGGAGAAAAAAAAAGAAACTGCCCATGCATTTTTTGCACTGTTGCCCTTATTACCATGGAAACAGTAATTGTATGCAGATTACAGTATTTGCATTTAAATGGTATTATAAAGATAAAATACCTCTGGTTAAAATTGTCATTTTTGCTGCTACAGTTATTTCAGAACTGAAAAAAAAATCTAATTACATATTTGAGACTGTGGTATGTGGGTACATTTCCATATTTCTGTGCATATATATGAATGGCTATGAGTGTGTGCCTGTGAGAGGGAGAGACTGAAGCGATGACAAACACTCACTCTGTAATAGTCTGTGCTGTAAACGTCTCTGGACATGCCAAAGTCTCCTATCTTGACCAGCAGGTTTTCTCCGACCAGGCAGTTCCTGGTTGCCAAGTCTCTGTGGACAAAGTGCTGAGAGGCCAGGTAGACCATGCCAGCCGCAATCTGTTGGGCAATGTGCAGCATCTGGGACTGGGTGAGCTCCACCAGGATACTGTGTTGACCGTCTGCCATCAGCACTGCATCAGGACCGTGAGACCTGCAACCCACAAACTCTTAACCAGCTCGTCTGTCGCAGTATTTAAATAAACTCAAAACTACCAAAAATATACTTCAATGATTGACAGAGGAATGAATAAAAATATTGTGAAAGTTATGTCCACAAAGGAAGTTATGTTTTCTCCCATTACCGTTTGGTTGGTTGGTTAGTTTGTATTTGTGGGCAGGGTTACACAATAACTACTGGACAAATTACCACCAAACGTGGCAGAAGGATGTTGCATGGGTCTTGAACATTGTGAGATAGGGTGTTTTTCAATATTGTGGTTTCATGAGGGGAATGTTGGGACTTTGAAAGCAATATGACGCAAAAACGACTTGATGGACCGCCACGAAACTTGGTGGAGGATGCAACATGAGTCAGGGAAGAATCCATTAATTTTTTTTTCTCATTTTCTTTAACAATACAAGTTTTTCAACATTTTCACTGTTTTCCAAGAGAATAAAAAAAATCTGGCTTATTAAGGGAACTGCTATCGAGTGTGTGTGAAATTTGGGGCAGCTTGACAGCATTTCAGGGGACTGTTGGGCCTCGTGGTATTTGCTCTACTGGGTGTCATTTTAACATTTTAGACGTCAAGTATTGATTATTGATCTTTAGAGGTGAGCATCCTGTCTGTGCCCCCTGTTTCCAGTCTTTAATGCTAAGTTAAGCTAATATTGCTGATTGTAGCTTCATTTTGAACATACAGATATGAAATATGTGTCGATTTTCTTCAACTATTCCTTTAAAGACTTGCCAGTATCTGTTATAATCCTCTTACCTGAGAAACTTGTTGAGGTCACCATGTTTCATATATTCAAACACCATGATGAGGGGGTCGCTCTCTACACACACTCCGTAGAAGGTGACGATGTGCTCGTGCTGCAGGTTGGTGAGGAGCTCGGCCTCTCTGTAGAAGTCTGCTCGGCCGCTCTCGCTGGCCTCTTTCAGGGTCTGACCAAAAGGCAGAGGCACAAAAAGACGACAGGACACACGGTGAGAAGTGTGTTCTACAACAACATACACGTAGCCAGAAGAATTCACAGAAGTGCATTGATTATTCCTGATGTGTACCTTCACTGCCACGTGGAGCTTCTCCTGGTCTGGTGTCAGGTTGTAGCACTCAGCGAGGAAGACCTTCCCGAAGGCGCCCTCTCCCAGCTCCCTCTTCAGGACGATGTTGTGTCTCTTGATGTGCTGGACAACTTTAACGCACAAGACGACAAATCAAACTCAAGGTCACGTGTGCATCTTGATTAAAGAGGCAACTTTGGTGCATGTATGTTCCCTGTAATCAGCAGAATTATATAGTAAAACACACAGTCTTCATATAAAATCATTTTTTGACAAATTGTGCACTAAAAATACATTACAGTATTTATTTAATACTGCTTATAAATGCAAAAGAAAAGAGAGTGCGACCATGAAACGTTTTTGACTTGAGATTATGATTATTGTCAACAATAGTCAAATAATAGTCAATGATTAATCATTCCCTCATTTAGTCTATAAAATGTATTTGATGCTGTAAATGCTTGATTTGCTTGATCACTTTTTTAATTATTTAAATGAGGCAAAAGGAGCAAATCCTCAAATCTGAAAGCAAGAACCAGCAAATCTTGAAAAATGTATCAGATGTGTCTGTGATTACTTTTCAAAGGATAAAAGGAAACAACGAGGTTCAGTCTGCTGCATTGAGCCTTTTGTAAACAAGCTTGTGTTTCCGAACATTATCCGTATGTCCTGCTGCCCCCGTAGAGCAGGAGTCTCTATCACGATGCAGCAGGATGCTGACAATAAATCTGGCGTCCAGCAGTGATCCCTGCATGGATTTATCAGAAAAGGTCCAGGTTACCAGGCATCGGTCGAGTGAGGCGGTAACTCACACGTGTCAGATTTCAGCATGCTGCCGGAGTTACGGAAGTACTGTGGGTTCTCAATGACAGGAATCTTTGTCATCCCGATGATCACTGCGTCTGGACCCATCTCCGAGGACGACGGGGTGTTGTTGCCATTGGAGACGTGATGAAGAGGGCTGGCGGAGTCATCGTCATTACTGATGACTGAGGAGGAGCCTAGGGAGGAGAGGGAAGAGAGGGAGAGAGGAAAGAGAAGGAGGAGAGGGAAGAGGAGAAGGGTGGTGGTCGTGGATGAGGAGGAGCAACACTTAAACAAGGAGATTGTATAATTTGACAAAAGGGAACGTGTAATGACGGAAACATAACAGATGATCAGAGATAGAAGTCACCCTGAATCAATACGAGAACATGAGCTCAGCACAAAGTAGGACTCATGAATTCCTATAATCATTCTTACACTGACACAGTGGAACTTGCAATGAGCTTTAAGTCAACACTTTAGTTTAACACTTTCAAATAGTATGAAACTGATCCAGTAATTCTTTATTAATATATAATTGTACTGATGTATAAACAGTGTAAATAAAAAGTTCATGAAATATATTATGGTGGAGAAGATTAATACGACTCTCACATCTGCCCCATTACATCTTAGACTATTGTCAGAAGTTTGTTAGCTTAGCTTAGCATAAATAGGCCTCCTGAGGGAAAAGGCCGCTTGCAAAATCCATCCACCAGCCAGCACCTTTAAAACTCACTTGATGACATGTAACACCTCATTGCTTTAATCCCATTCTGATGAGTCTGCTGCTGTAACAAGGGAATTTCACCAGTGTGGGATAAATAATGTTTTATCTTAACTTAATGTTTCTTATCTTATCTTTATATAAAGTCTATGGTAAATACAGTAGTAAACAGCAAGCCTGGCTCTGTAGGCTAAGCTAGATGGTTGATAGCTGTATCCATATTCAATGGACGGGTACAAAAATAGTGTAAATCTTCTCATCTTACTCTGGGCATAAATGAAAATTATGTCACCTTTAATACCAAACTTGGAGTTTCTTCCACATTTCAGAATGATCACCATCAGGACACAGCCGGTCAATGCAACTCCTGCAATTCCCACAACTACATACACCTGGAAGAAAGTAAAACAACAAGCGTGTTTGAAACAGCTTTAAAAAACATCTCACATGTTTTGCAACAGCCGCTCCCAACCAGCGACCAGGATCCACCATAAGGCCCGTGATAGAAACAAAAGTATAAATTCACATAGCACTTTATTAGGGACACTTGGTTGTGCATGAAATAATTCAATCAGCAGAAATCAACAAAATCCTGCAGATGTAGGTCAGAAGCTTTAGCTACTGTTCACAGCGAATATCAAAAAAATGTGATCTTATTAACTGTGACCATAGTGCCAGACACGCTGCTTCAAGTATTTCTGAAGCTGTTGATCTCCTGGGATTGTCAGAAAAACTGTCTCTGGAGTTCACACAGAACTGTGCAAAAAACTAAAAACGTCCAGTACTGTGGACAGAAATGATTTGTTGAGGAGAGACAAATTAAGCATTGAGGTGGAGGTTCTTCAACAACATTGCAACATGAATGTGCAGCTGAAAAATGTGCACATTTTCTTGATTCAGATCTGTCAACATGGACCAGAATCTCAGAGGAATATTTCCAAAATCTTGCAGAATCTATGCGACAAAGACCCAGGGGTAAAAATACTAGTAAGTATGGTGTTCCTAGTAAAGTGCTCTGTGATGCCTGCTTGACAAATTATTCCCCTAAATAGCGCCTTCTCTCTATATAATAATTATTTATAATGAGAATATTTTTTAGCCATTTAAAAATAATAAGAATAAAATATTTAAAAAAATATCTTTGATTGAACAGCTCGCAGCTGGTAGACACAGATTTTTAAGGGGCCACACACCAAAAGGTTAGAAACCACTGCTTTAGATGTTAAAGGAGTGCTGGTCACTTACAGCAACACTGTCGCCCAGTGGGGAATCTGAAAATAACAATAAAAAAACAATCAATCAATCAAAATGCTTGTCTAAACATTTGAAACTATTTAACCCAGACATGTTTTATTAAGCTGACTATAAGTAGACGTGAGCTCTTTAAGAGTCCATAAACTTACCCATATTATCTGGTCGGAAGAAAGATGCAGACAAAGGCCACAGGAGGAGGAAAAGATACACAGCATGGTAGAGTTAATTTTAACTTCATATATATTTATTGTCAATCTAGTAAGGCTTCATAAATAAATCATTACTTACAGAACTCATCGATCTCATCTGCAAGAAATGAAACAAATCTCTATTATCCAACTTTAAAGACACAAACTATTCTTATTCTATATTAATAATATAACTTCTTACTAAATGAAGCCATGTAAAAAGCACAGCCAGGTCATACCTGGCTCAGGTGGTTCGATGAACTGTGCAGAGACCTTCTTCTCGTCTCGGCCGTATTTATTCTTTGCCACCAGCCTGTACATGCCATTGTGAATATGCGTGGGGTTGACCAGCTGCAGGCAGCCGTGGTCCTCGCTCTCAGTGGACAGGTGGATCTGCGTGTGGATGTAGTCCTGCTCCTGGAGGGGCATGTTCTCGTGGTACCACTGCAGCTCGGGCTTGGGGTTCCCCGTCACGCTGAAGGGGATGCACCAGTGGTGGTTCTGCTCCGGACCCAGCAGCTGCTGGATGGTGGGGGCAACTGACACGGAGGCAACAGTAGAGGAAGAGTAATCACGGGATGACAGGACATAAACACCAGGACGAAACACCAGTGAGGAAAGGCAGCATTCATGGGATTACAGAAGAGATGCAACTGGGGATGGAAAGTGTGGTCGACAGCGAAGGGATTGATCGCACAACAGTTGAACTGAACACTGGGAAAACATGGAAAAAGGGGAATGAGGAGAAATGTTGCAATAAACAGGCAGAGGAGCACGGTGAGGCACGAGGAGCTTCACAGGAGGAAGAGTTATGAACAGGAAACATGGAGAGTCAATAAGATTTGCAGAAAGACAGAAATTATAACAAACTGAGGAGCCTTCTGGTTCCACTGGAAAAAAAACACTGTCTAGGAGGCAGCATTTTAAAGATCATCTGAGAGGAAATTAGACAAACGCACATAGTAAATGTAATTCTTAAAGATGCACGCTGTAATGCTATTATTGCTTAATGTTCACAGTTAATGATGACAGAGAAGCAAGAAGCCTTACAGAGAATGTTAAGCTGCAGGGTGGCCTCCATCTGACCGACCATGTTCTCGGCACTGCATATGATCACCCTGCCATTATCTTCAGGAGACAGGCCTGACAAGGTGAGGGTGCTCTCTGTTTCCTTTGCTTCGATCTGCAGACACACCAATATCGTGTACATTATACACTGTGTCCTGTTTATAAGGATCTGGTGTGATGCTGATCTTTAGTACAGAGACAAAAATAACAATCACAAACAGACACAACTGAACAGTACACATCTCCCACTAACCCCAGTCAAGTGTAACACATAAATTACATTGATCACTATATGAAGAATATTTAAAGATAAATGCTTTAAGTTTTTTATTAACAGTACTAAATTGCTGGATTAATTGATAATTGAATGTTTAGATGGGTGGAGTTGAATAGTTGGATAAAAGTAATGAATAAACAGTCAAACACAAAAGTGTGTTAATCATTAAACTGATTAAAAAGTCAGCTAAAAGTAATAGATAAACAATAATCATAAGTCCTGAATATACAGTTAAAATAGTAGCAGTCTATCAGTGGAAACTTTTTGTTTTACAAAAATGGAACAGTCCAAATAAGCTAAAAGTACATAAATAGATACAATTTGAATACATGAGAAAATGTGATGGATAGAGAAAGAAAATAATTAGCTAAAACAGGTGAAATAGTTAATTACTAGTTAAAAGGTTTTACGTTTACTAAAAGTACTGGATATACAGTGAAATAGTATTCAGATAGTGCAAGTAAAAGCTAAAAGTCCTATAGGCCTATAGCTAAAAGTAATGGGACAGCCCAAAGAGCTAGAAGTATGTCAATGGATGAATTTAAAACAAAAGCTAAATGTGATGGATAAACAGTGAAAATGGAAATACAGGTTAACACAGATGTTACTAATCACATTATCATTATCTATCATTTTCAAAAATATTTGCTTTTTCTAAACATATTGATACGTGATTATTATACTGGTTCCTTGTGAAGATGCAAATCTTTAAAAACAGATTACAGATTTATTTCAAGCATTTTCCTGATTTTTCAAATAGAACTTTTTTGTACTCTGGTGAGATTTTACAGCACTGGGATTCTCAAAATCAAATACAGTAACCATGGTCATGATAACATAGGAGCATGTCTGTCTTACTCTCTGATATAAGTGTTGGGGTATTGAGTTGCTGGCAACAACAGAGCTCTATAAGTTATGTCATGGTTTGGATAAACAGACTTGTTAGTAAGTTCAGTTTGGTTTCGGTCTTTTCATAGGATTTCTTGACAATGATTAAATTTAAGCCCTTGTAGTTCACAATGTTGTTTTGAAACTTAGTGGTCCAGTGTGTAAGATTTAGATGAAAGGGAACAATTGGCAGAAATTTAATGTAGAATAATCTTCATGATGTTTTCACTAGTTTGTTTCATTTAAATTGTATGAATTGTAGTTTTCTTTACCCCAGAAAAAGCCCTTTATATTTAAATACTTTATATTTACATTGAGGGAACCCTCTCTACGGAGGCGGCCATGTTTTTTACATTAGTCCAGACTGAACAAACTAAACACCTTTTGAGTTTTTATGACAATTAAAGGCTACCACAGGTTCTTTTTCATGTTTGGAAGGAGAGGGTGAGGTGAGGGGTGTTCAGCTGCAACATGCAATTTCACCATAGATATCACAAAATTCTACACACTGTACCCTTAATTAGAACTCATTACCAACTCATTATATTTTCTGCATTACTCACAAAGCAAAACCTTAACAAATCAGGTGCTCAAAGTGGTGTGTGAAAATGTTCCGAACATAGACTCACCTCATGGTGTGTGGAGAGCAGATCCAGGTTCCACAGGATCTCAGGGAGAGGGGAACCTGAGGTGGTGCACACAGCTTTGACGTTACTCCCCTGCATCTTGGTCACAATTTTGGGGGTGACCTCCACTTTGGGAACCACTGCAAAACAGACAGACGGTAAAATTAAACATCTTCCTTACACATAAAACCTTACACAGGTTCCTTTCCATCTTTGTTTTATGTCTCCATGGGGTGATCACCTCTTTAAACATTCAATATCAGATACATAACATTGCATTATTATAACGTGGTTTTACATTACCACAATCCAGTGGAGTGAGTGTGGCGAAGGCCGTCGTCTCTCCTCTATCGTCCATGCATTTCAGATCTTGGCCGTCTATGTCCTCTTGGAGCCTCAGTTTGATCCACAAGTTCTCACAAACACAATCCAGAGGGTTCCCAGACAGAAGGAGCCTGGGAAATAAAAACGCAGCACATGACAAAAGTCATGCTCTCACACAGGAACGGAGTGATGCGCAGGCGAATAGTGCACGGGATACTTACGGTAATGTTATGTTAAAGTTCTGAAATGTTCTCCATGACAGTGTCGATAGATTATTGTCTCTGAGATTTCTAAAAACAACGAAAAAAAAGGATATTAAATATCCAAACATGGAAACTGCAGTGTACATCAGTTTACATACTTTGTTTTCTTCTTACACATATTGAAGTCTTGTATTGTTGAAAAATGCGTCTGATGATATCGATGTCAATCTGGTGTTTATCACTGTTCTGTTGGGAGTGAAAAGGTAGAGTTATCACATCATCTACAGTTTTTATCTGTTGGCGTTTCCATGTAAAACACCAAAAACAAATGGTACTTACAGGTTTCTGAGGTTTATGTAGTGTCTCAAACTGTTGTCATTCATGTCAAACAGTCTGTTTTGATTTGCAATGTATCTGTGAAAAGATTTTAAAAGAAAGACGTGTTAGATGCAGTAATGATGAGCAAAATAACTTCATCTGATTCTATTCTACATCTGTGTTTATTATAAACTTAAGATTTACAGTCACAGTGTAAAACAAATGAGTACATTGAATGTGTTTGATTGAAATTTGAAACAAAATACCATGAGACTCATTTTATACGTACATCATTGTCTCATATTGCTTCACTGAGGGAATTATGTTTGCAGCACATTTGATTTTCAATATAATGTGAATCAATACAACAGTATGTATTTACACTGTCAGCATGTTGACTAACGTAGGTAATAGATTGTATTGTTGCTGTTGTAATGTCCATATATTTGTATTTTTTATTTCTGGACATAAGAAAGTTAATCTTACATCTTTAATGTATTTCCCAGCAGTGCTGTGGTGCTCTCAACCATCTTTGAGAAACTTGGTTGTTCTTTAAGATTAGCTAAAGCACTTCTAATAAAGATAAAACATACCTGTGTTTTATGGTCTAAATGCCACTAGTTCCATGAAATAGAATACATAAAATAACAAGACAATAATAAATACAGCTCTGTGTACTTTTGGCATTTGTGCCCATGTGGTGTCCTAACCATTTAGCTATCATTGTACCTTAAACAAAACAATGTATTGTTTTGAAAATACAAGTTAAAGTATATTTAGGGGTCTAAAAGTCCTGGGCACTTCAGAAGTTGACCTTATTCCCTACAGTATTACAAATCTGGACGAATGAAGTTTCCATGATGCTTAATGGGATAACTCCTGGATTTGAAAGTGAATATCTTCAGTTAACTCGTTAAAAATGTGGAAAATGTGGCTGCTATAAGGTATTATTTTTGCAAAATGCTGAATAATCTTGTTTTGGTCCAGATACAGTAAACTTAGGTCATGACAGTCTAATGTGACACCTCTATCTCGAGTGTGTCTGCCTCAGAGAGCTCACCCATGTCTCCCCTCCATCATCTCCAGTGGGTGCCATGCAGCTGTGTGGCTGTGCAGGGTTGTACCAGGTGCACAGGCCTGCACACTGACGCAGATAAGGCCAGGCTAGGTGACTGTGGTGGGAATATAGCCTGTATCTCCGCTTGTGTACAACCGATGTGCCCTCGTGTATAATCTGGCCACAATGTGTATCTTTTTTCTTTTTCTTTTTTAAACATTGAGGCCATATTTCACAAAGACCGATAATGATCACCTTCCATAGACTGTGAATGGGCCTGGAATATTTACTCCATCACTACCTCTGGAGCTATTTTGTAAAGGAAACACCGACTAATCCAAATAAGCCTGACGCACACTCTCACCACCATTACGCACACACACACCGACGTCGGTAGTGGCACGCGCAACCCACATGCACTCACACGCGCACGTTGGCTACATGATCCGACAAACCCAGTGGTTACGCGAATAAAAATCACAATTGTTCGTGTTTGACATTACGCGCAGAACATAGATATCTACTGATCTTTAATCTATAATAGTGAAACAGCACCGGAGCTGCTGCTGATGTTATCATTACCATCATTACCTTGATTAGTAGTATAATAATCCCAGCCCTTAGGTATTATTGCGACCTACGATCGAAGGTGGTTCTTTACGCATTGCATCCTAATAAGTTCACGAGCTGTCTGTCTGTCTGTCTTTGTGTGCGTGTGTCTGCGCGACCATTTTTCATACATGCACACTTACATCTCGGTGATGTTTTCCATGTCATCCAACGTGAGCACGGGGAAATCCTCGATCCCCGGCACGGAATCAATACAAACAATCCTTGAGATGCTGCAAGTGCAGGATGCGGGGCAGGCATCGCAAAATCTCCACATCAGCCCCAGCATCAAAACCAAAAACAATCCAAGTCGAGCCATGCCATGTTCCCCCGCGCTGGAGTCCATCGCAGGTCCAATAATGATCTCTCCCCAACACACACACACACACACACGAATCCCCCCCCCAAAAAAACAGAATCTGTTCAGACTGAATTATTGGGTAAGATTTCCCTCCCTCGCCTCCTTTATATGGCCAAGTTAATCCTTTCCACTCCGCAGGAGGGGAAAAAGGACGGTCGGTGAGGAATGCGCAGCAGAGCCCACGGTTTTTAATATCAAGATGCCATGGACTGGCCTTCCCGTCTCCGCAGAGCTGCTATCACACTACTGCGTATCGATGCCGTGAAGCAAGGTGTCAAGTGGTCCGTCCTGGTGCTGCTGCTGCTGCTGCTGTCTCACTCCTCTATGTCTCTGGCACGGGCTGCTCGCCTCTACCTTGTAAAACAAATATGAGGTGTTCCAGATGTTTATAGATCAATAGGCGAGCCCCCCCCGCCCCCCCCGACGAGCGTCCTCTCATATGTGCGGTGATGGAGAGGGAAATATAAGAGAGGCTGCACAGTGGAGTAAGGATGCGTGGTGATCCTGCGTGTGTGTACGGAGGAAGCCTATACCTGCATCCTTCTATCGATTATCGACGAGGACGCGAGCGCTTCTCACCCCCGAGCTATCATCACTGGGACTGGTTTTAATGGGGTGGCGATGATGGTGCCCTGGAGGGGCATTTATGACATGTTGTATTCATGGGAATTTGTTTTTGGATTTTCTTTTAATATTTTGGTCGTGAAACAAACCCCCAAACACCAGAAGCCTGCATGCATGCGCCTTTATGTTAGGCTGCACATGTGGCTAGCTGAAATCAAAGTCAACATCAAAGTCAAATGCCCTGTGTGCGGCGGGCACGACAACAACATGGATGTAAACTCTGGTGATGTTGTAGTTGCCCTGAAGCCATGTATTGGATGAAAGCAGCGCTTTTTTCTCTCTCCCTCTCCTCCTCACCAACACTGTTGTACGGTTGGCCATTAGGCCTATAGTGTGACGTACGGTTGACGCACAAGACGGGTGCATCTATGAAAAATAATTACCTATACTATATCTGCAAGCTTCAAATGGTTCTCACTCTCAATCACTGATCAGTGCACGATAGCCTGTAGGAGCATGTATTTGGGGGATGGGGGTGGCAGCTGTAGGTCTATAGATTTTTTAATTACATGGAACATTTTGACAGAAGTATTAATTTTGACACACATCACAACCCACTGTCATCCTGTGATCATGTGCAAACGTGTTTGTTGGACTGAGGGGGTGCAGAGAGAAATACCACAGTCAGGTTTGACAAAAACTGACCTATAGATTTTAATTTAATGATTTAATTTGTATCTTATAACAACATTTCTTCATGATTTAAGGATGTAGTTTTCATTATTTTATTTTAATGTACCAAATCAAATGTCATATAAGCCCTCAGTTTTTCATCAGTCTAATAATATGTTTCAAAATGTTGAAAATAAATCTTGTTTACCAGTGGATTCCTAAAAATCACCCATAATGAGGAGGCACACTCAGCGAGGACACATGATCTATGACACAGCCCATGGTTAGTGTCGCTATGGTGACTTGCTTTTTACAAATAGCACGGACAATGTCAAGTGTCGCTATGGTTGCAGATGAAAATATGTACGCAGGCTTTTTTTTTTTTCAAGAACTGAATTATATCTGTCTCCATGGTAACATCAGAGCAGAGGAGAGGGAAGAGAGCTCTTTATTTTGCAATAGATCCTTGCCTATATCTGAAGGAGCATGACAACACTACGGGGGAGAGGGATGTTTAAAATAGATCAAGTGTGGACATAATTCAGGCTCCTGATTTACAAAAAAAAAAATGTCAGTGAGGTGGTGGCTCAGTCTGATCTCAAAACATTTCAAAGCATATTTCAATGAGTATTTTTAAATGTTAATTTTTAAATGTCCTGTTTGGAGCCTACATGATGTGTAGTTGGCGTGATATGAGACCTACGGTTTGTTTTAGTAAAAAATATGAGCAGCAGCATTTTAAACAAGCTGCTAACGAGTTATTAAGATTTGACTAAGGCATGCATAAAGTGCAATGCAATGCAGACGGGAAAAGACAAAGGCATGCATGAGCTTCTAAATCCGGGAGAGGTAGAACTGATTTAAGTTTGGAAACGTTTTGTAGGTGGAATATTGTGCCTCGCCATTCAGCCAAAACATATGAGGCACAGTAGTTTTTAGTGCATCCAGCCCTAATCTTGAAGTGTTTGGGTTTTAAGATACCTCTGAAATTAAGACCAACATTTTGGAACCGAGTCAAACTGGAATAAAACAGTCCCACATTTTACCTGGAGTTATCATTTCTAATAAACTACAACCTGACTTCGATCGCCTGTGAGCCTTCACTCGGGGCAACACCTCCCCCTCCTCTACAGGGAGCGCTTGATATTCCGTTCTCGGCCTCACGGTTACTACACTGGTCCATTTCGGTAACATCCATTTCTCTTAGCTCCGCTCGCGGGTACGGTCTCGGGCGGCAAAAGAAGCGTACCTCCGCGTGAGCGTGGCGGAATCGAGCTCACGCAACGTGTCCGCTCTCCATGCTGAAAACGTGCGAGCGTTTGAGGAGGAAAACCTCAGTGACTGTGGCTCTACTGCAGGTCTGTGCTCCTACAACCTTTCTCTCCACACAGCGCGCCGTCGCGTCACTTAGCACACTAGCTAGCTGCGGTAGCTGCATTCAGCTGACAGTAGAAGTGTTAGCTGTGTTGGTCCGTTGTGTTGTTATTTCTCGACAGTGTGGTCCAGTCGCAACGTGTACACTGGAGCCCATAGACACGCCTCACAGGACGCACTGAGAGCTGGGGCTAGTAGCACGGCTGTTAGCATAGCAAGGTAACCTAATGTCAACTTAGCAACAGCGCAGGGACGCTAAGCTAACTAGTGTTTGCAGGCAGCTGCGCGTTTTCCTCTTTTGTGTGTAATAAACTGCGCAGTTTCCCCTTCCTGCAGGTATTATTAATATAGCTGCACGTGGACATAACAGTTAGCTTCCATTTAACGTGTTGCAGAGGGAGGTGAGCTTCACTAATGTCTGGAGAATCTTATTAAAAATAGCACGTTCACTGCTAACATAGCGGTGTATGTGGCTGCTCATGAAAAACACAGTGGTCAAAATGGGTGCTGCTGATTCTCGAGCCATGTACGTGTCGGTCAGATTCTCCCTACAAGTTTAACAAGGCCTCGGTGCTGGAGGGATGTTTGCACAAGTGCAGATTGCTTTCTGCATTATTCCGCCAGCAGCAGCTGCGAGCCGTGCACGTAGGTGTTGGGGCTGCATGTGCAGAGTTCATGCAGGAGTGAAGTGCTCAATCCTAGATCCCGACTCTGAACCAAACTGACAACATGCATGCTGCCACATGTATGCACGACTCATGATTTCACATGATCTGTCTTCAGTAGCTGCACTTGTTGATTCATCCATTTGAAGATAGACTGAGAAATAATTTCCAGCTCGCCTGTCATCTATCCCCCCTCATTGGTTTCTGACATACCACACCATTAATCTCCTCCTCAAGAAAACCATCAGCAAAATGGTTAATTTCAACCTGAATCAGAATATTTCATTAGTATGTGGCCCAGATCATTGAGTTATTATTGCCTCCTCTTTTATCAGATCCAGGGAGAGGAGCCTGTTTGCATTCCTCTACAGGTGCAAGACAATGGAGGTGAAAATGGAGCAGCAGGACGAAGACCTCACATTCAGCAACACTGACACTAATAGTAAGATCATACACATTTCCATTGTGACCACAGACCATATATAAAGGCGGAGGAGCCACCTCCAGTTTCTTCCAAGTATCTAGAAATGAAACCAAAATATCAATCACGAGTCAGTCTCATCTGTAAGTTTCACCCCATCTTTACAGTATCAAATAACTAGAAAGAGAATAGGGAACAGTCACGTCGTCTATCTTTTATACAGTCTGTAATTGTGACAAAGAAAAATAATCAGCCATTCATAACCCTAATGTAAACCAAATGGATGAACTTGTACATTAAGTACAAAATGGACTGAGCCTCTCTTGTGTTATATCCAGGTTGAAATTGAGTGTGTAGCTAAATCAGCTAATTAGTATACTCTAGGGAACAAGAAACAAAAAACTGAAATTTTCTGGCTCCCTCTACATAACACGTGGACATGTCAGATGGTTGAGGGGTTCTCCTGTCCAAGCTACTGCTGTTCTGTGGGTCCTGAGCAGATCTGCCTGTGTTTTAATCCAGGAAGGTTACATGGTGGTGCTGGATACTCTCCAGGATATAGTTGGCTGCTGAATGAAACCCAGTCTTAGGGTGGAACACAGTGTAGACCTAGCACTCGCCATGTATTTATATTATTTGCTATTCTAATAAACGTTTGGTTTCTGTAGCCCAGTGGAAACCACCTTTTTAAGCCCAAGATCACTTTTTAATTCCAAATGTAAGCAGAGATCTCTTTCCAATTTTATATTTTATGGTGCCACAGACCTACATTTCTTCATATTGACACACTGTAGTGCCAATTACCCATTTATCACCATTAATCGATGAATTCATCATAAAGAAAGAATTGTTTTCCTTTTCAGGTAAACGCCCGGCTGAGGACATGGACGAGGAGCAGGCCTTCAAACGATCACGCAACACGGATGAGATGGTGGAGCTGCGTGTGCTGCTTCAGAGCAAAGTAAACACCTATTCTGTTCATGTAGTTTGCCACATTTGTCGTTTGACCATGCAGCTTTTTTTTTTTCATACTTATCAAAAGAGATTTCTTCCCCTAAGAAAACCTCTCTTTTTCCTCACAGAATGCTGGTGCTGTTATTGGAAAGGGTGGAAAGAACATAAAAGCTCTACGCACAGACGTGAGTAACAGAAAAGATGCTGCTAACATTTCTGCAGCTGAGGAGAACATTTTGTTTGCTGACGCCCCCTTTTGATGCAGAATCTGCTTGGGTCTTTTGGACCTAACAACTGTGCTGTATTTAAATGCTGAAATATTGAAATTAAAACGATCAAACTTAAATTCCAAATTATTCCAGCCCCCTATTCCAACAGACGCGGTCCCAGATTCCCTGCCAGCAAGTTTTTAATCATTTGACATCAACAATTAACATGCACTGTTAGTTGATTAAACCAACTTGGCTCTTGAGGACAGACAAGGTTCACCTTGTTAGACACATCTGTTGGACTTTGTTTCCAGTCCTCCTGTTACTGTCAGCCTGATTCCAGTTCCCTTCTCAGTGTTGAAGCTATTTTTGACCTTGAAGTGACAACAGGTGCCTTAAGGCCGAGTCTTTTTTCCAGTAACGTAATTCTCTGTAGTGCTCCAGACTGTTTAGTAAACTTATCTTGTCCAGGTCACACCTCCTGTTCTTCTTCACTCACCACAGTTTCAAATCTCTCACTTTCTCTTCACTGTTGGGACAAAGTAAAAGCGTGTTATTCAATTAAAAATGTATTCCTTCTCCCCCTCTTCCCTTCTCCTTTACTTTTTTGTTTTTATTTTTGGCCACCTTCCTCCGTTGCCCATGTACTGGATCGACATGCCCCTCCTGCGTTGCCCACCTTGACGTTGGCCCAACCTCCGCCCGCCCCTGAACGCCATGCCCGCCCACCTGACACTCCCGGTTGGCCCCGCCCATATACTGTGCCCCTCCTTAAACGGGCGCCTTACTTGACTTCTTGTGATTGAATGCCCCCGCCCAATGCCAACCTCCTCCACCACAACCACCTCCACAACCACCACCACCACCACCTCGGCCCATGCAGTACAATGCCAGTGTATCAGTCCCAGACAGCAGTGGCCCAGAGCGGTATGTCCCACCAGTTATTGCCTCACTGCCTGATTAGAACAGTGAAACACATGTCTTTGATAACCTGCCTTCTGTTTCATTTTAACATCTTTACATACATGAAAGTATACTCCCCATCCCCCAAACACCCCCCCCCCTCCACTTGTAAGAGACGTGTATTGTTCCTTTTGATTTTTCTGTCCATTTTAAGCATCTCCATTGAGTTGCACTTTTTGTCATTACAGTTTATTGTCCGTGCAGAGCCACTACCAAGTAGATGGTATTTTATGGTTATCAAACACAGCTGTCGGATGTTGATTTCCTTGCTGTGATGTTTTTAATTTGACCATTTTAACTTGTGGAAAGCAAACATCTTTTTTTTCTCGCTCTGTCCTCTGTGGCTCACCTGCCCCCCCCCCCCCCCCCCCCCCCCAACCTCTGAACCACCCACAACCCTCTTCTCCTCCCTCCACCTCTCCTCCCCCACTTTTTTCCCAGCATCACTGTCCATAATCTCTGGAGCGAGCACTGGCTCCTGTCAAGAGGCTCCGTCCCCCCTCTCTGTCAGTCATTAATGTCGTCACTTGATTTCATTGTGCTGCATCCCTTCTGTTAAACTTCTCTCAGGCCACATTCAGATCTGAGCTGCCTGCCAAACCTTTCATACCCCTTCCCCACCCCCGCTCTTGTCCTGTGCCACAGACTAGTTGATAATCACTTACATTTCCCTTCCCCACCTCAGTTCCTCTGCTCTGTTGCTCTTTTTCTACTGCCCACCCCGTCTTCTCCTCACCCCAGCCCTAAGCCCTCTCATTCCCACCTCTCCCTTCTCCCCGAAACCCACCTGGTCACAACGAAGGTGTGCTGGTGGTGCTCTTGTCATGGGAGTTTATTGTTTCAGTTTGTTATGTTCCTTTTCTTCAACTTGCTGCTGGTGGGATGGTTATAGCTCTGTCTGTCTCTTTCTCTGTCTCCCTTTCTCTCTAAGTCTCTCTCTCTCTCTCTCTCTCTCTCTCTCTCTCTCACCCCTTCCCCTAAAATGTTTGTGGCCAGTTTCATATTAATTTGAGCCCTTCTGAAGCAGCCCACAATCCCGAGGACTTTTCTGAGGTCCTGTTTAGACCTGGTATTGACATCCATCTCAGATTATCCGATCACAAGTGGACTGCTCTTAGTAGAGATGTGAAAGTACGCAAGATGTATCTTATACCACATTTGGAGGTGGTCTGGGATTAGACTACATACATACTACTCAAGTTAGTTTATGAGCGATTAAAAAGTTTCAGTTGGGAAACTCTGCTGTCCCTCTTTTAGTTTGAAAAGGGTGTGGGCCACAGAAGCTCATTTTTTGTTAGGTTATTATGGAATGGAAAAAATAATTTGATAAGTTTTAATACGCTTGAGGAAAATGTTCCCTCTCTTCCCTCTCCCTAATTACTTAATTGCATTTCCTGAATTATTGTACCTGCCTGCCAGCTTCCAAAACTGTGGCTTATAGACACTGCTCTGGTAATATTGGTGTCTATGTTGCCATTTTAACCACTTGAAAGCCAAACATAACGTCCCATGTCTTAAGCAAAAGCTCACAAGTTCAACTTGAAAGCAGAGTATCTATCCATCTCTCTGGCAGACATGATTATGGACCCATTTGTCATAGATGGACTAAACTAACCATTATATGTCTTTGTGACCAGAAGTGATATTTATTTACATGTAGAGTGTGGAAGTGAGATCTGATCAGGTGTGTGGACACACTCTAATCCCAGGTATGAACAGACACAATCAGAGCTGTCCACTTGTGATCTACCAGGACTGAACAGGCTCTTACTTTTAAATAAATGGTGAAGTGAGTGCATGTCAGCATCTTATTCTATCAATTCAGCGTTGGGGGGGGGGTTGTATTTGTGTGTAAACGCTGCGATCTTAAATTTTTCTTAAGTTGGAAACCTTTTTAAGTCTCTGTACCTGTTTGCTGGACTGCCTCATGGTTTTTTTTCCATTTTCTTTCTGTGTTCTACTTTTTGTCCCCCTTATAATGCCTTGCTTCCTTTTTGGGCTAAAACGGTTCCTGATAGGATTCTGAGTGTGAACGCCAGCATCGACACTATTGGTGATATTCTGCTGAAAATCATACCAACTCTAGAGGAGGTGAGCCACTGTGCTAATTTGCTTATTGCTATTTTTACCTGAGCAGAGGGAAGTCAGGGATGATTGATAATGTATTGTTGAAATATTTAGCCTGTTGGAACAATAGAAAACAAATGGAAAACAATAGAAAAATGGTCATTAATATGCAGGACCTTTTGAAGCTACCCTGTAGATTTTTCTTTTTTTACCTTGTTGAGATGTCGCCTGGGTTCTCTTGCTGTTTCACTGATCAACATCTTGTGCCAGTAATGAAAAAAGAATCATAACAATACCAGCAAATCAAGTGAAAAAGAATACCTCACTACGTGAGCAGCACTAGTTTTGTGAATGCTTTAGTAAATATATTTGTTGGACCTCCAAGAGAAATATTAAATGTTAATATTGCTTTCATTTACAAGAAAACTCAAAAAGGCACCTTTAATTTTAGACCCAAAAATTTTGCCGTTTCACCTGAGCTCAACTAGTATGGTTTAAATTTGACCTGAGACTTAGATAGTTATATATATTAGCTATTGATGTTTTAATTTTTTTTATTACAGATTGTTAGTACGTCAAAGTAATGCAACACATTAGCTAGATTTTCATCCCACGGCTGTGCAATGTTTTGAGAAAATCTACAAAAGAAAATGCATTTTAATTTGCATTTCCATTCATTACTGTTATTAGTTGTTGGTTCATTGGAATAAACTGCTGGTGGTACTAATTTTCACCTTGGGTGCCAATAAACCATTGCAAAAGAAGAGGACAGCAGATCAAGATGGCTTGATTAAAATAGGAGCAGTCAAACCTCAAATGTGGAAAAACTTAGAAAATATAATTGAAATGTGGTTTTGTGTATGTTTCAAATATTATTGTCACAGCCTGTTTAATATTCCACATAGATCTTAAGTTTTCATCTCCTCAGTGAATGTCACACAGTCTATGTTCGAATGTCATTTAGAGATGTACGTTGTGTTTCTGTAGTACCAGCATTACAGTGGGATTGATTTTGACTGTGAGCTTCGCCTGCTGATCCATCAGAGCTTGGCAGGGGGCATCATTGGGGTGAAAGGTGCCAAGATAAAGGAGCTGAGAGAGGTAGGAGAGAGTCCTGCACTGCACATTTATCAGAAACATAACTGTTATGTGTCATTGCCTAATGGCTACCACGGATAAAATCTAATTCTGTGCCAAACACTGGAGAGGGTGTACTTTTTAACTACTGATTTAATTAGCAGTTGCAGTAACGTCATGTATGTGGCATTTCTGCCGGTGTCATCAGCTCAATCAAAAGTAGATTTTAATTATGGGGTTTCTCTGCACCAGAACACCCAGACCACCATCAAGTTGTTCCAGGAGTGCTGTCCACACTCCACTGACAGAGTCGTCTTGGTGGGAGGAAAGCCAGAACGTGTCATTGAATGTATAAAAGTTATCCTGGAGCTGGTGTCAGAGGTGAGTTCACAGCCCGGGATCTGCTGAAAGCATAAACATACTTTCTACAGTCATGTGTTTCATGCCATGTAGATGTAATAATAATCACCTGAAGCTAAAATCCATCACTAAGAAGTTAAATGTTCAGATGATTATCGTTTTTTGTGCTTCATAACTTGTTTCAACAGTTTCATAGTCTTTTACAATCTCCTCTCATTATATCCTTTGACTTCTGTTTGCAGGCTCCAATCAAAGGTCGTGCTCAGCCTTATGACCCTAATTTCTATGACGAGACATATGATTATGGAGGTTTCACCATGTTATTTGAGGAAAGAGGCAGACGACCCATTGGTGGGTTCCCTATTCGCGTGCGTGGGGGCTTTGAACGAATGCCCCCCGTGCGTGGCAGCAGACCCTTGCCTCCCTCCAGAAGGGACTACGACGACATGAGCCCTCGTCGGGGTCCTCCACCACCTCTGAGCCGAGGTGGACGAGGCGGCAGCCGAGCTCGAAACCTGCCTCTTCCCCCGCCTCCGCCACCAAGAGGAGGGTAAGGAAGTTCCCCATTTTCTTTCGTTGCTTTCAAATCAAAACTGCTTGAGTGGACTAATTACCAAGACCACCTAAGGAAAAGTCCTGGTCCATATTCAACCAGACTTTGATTTTAATGTAAATTCAAAGCTTCTTTTCAGTTTCATCCATCTATAGATCATGAACTTTAGATTGATTTTAGAGAAGAAGTAGCCTTGTTAAAACAATGCACATCACCCTGTGATCAAATGAAAAGAGTTTAGCTAGAGCCTTTTTGAGTTTAAGCCCAATTTGTTTGTATTTCCCAATTTTCCCAAATAAATGGGTAAACGACTGATGTAGTAATCACAGTAACTGTCCTACGCCATTATTATAGCGGCAAAGACCTTTGTCATTATTATTGTCTTTATTCGTCAAGGTCCAGTTGCAATTTTAACTGCGTGGATCCATGTAGGGACAATCTATAAAACTGTAAAATCAAGTTACCCTATTAGTCCATATAGCCAATGAACAGGAAATTGACCACAGCCAAAAATGCTGCAAACTGTGTTCTACGTTGTCTTGGTCCAGATCAAATCAACAATACTGAACTGTGAACAGTCAATTTACTTTCCCTGTGTGTCATTGTTTGCAGGGGAGACAGGTTTTCACATGGCAGCTACCACAGCAGCATGGACGACAGACAAAGGTGATCATGATTCCCAACATTGCAAATTATTATATATAAGCCGGCTTTTAAATAACTGTTAAGTCCCAGATGAAAATCAAATGAACAAATAGAAGCCGGACAATAATAAAGGTCGGGTTGATTTTCAGGGAATTACTTGTAGCCTACTAGAACAGTATGGTGAGATACACAGCCACAAAAGTAGCTTGTTGTACTAAGAGTCCTTACCACAGATGAAATACATGTGTCATGTCATGTCAACCCACTTCACCAAAATAGTGTGTGTATGACTTGATTAATGGGGGAAATTTAGAATTAAGACCCCTTGATAATATAAGCTTGCCCTAAATAAGGGACTCTCTGCCACTGAGGTAAATAGTTGAGCATTTATGTTCATCTCCCAAAATATAGCAAATGAAAGCTGCTCGGTAGCAGACTGTCAACCCACCAGCCCTGATTCAGAGTCTGATCACAGGTCATCTGTAGAGTCTGCATGTCCTTTCACACTCACAGCTTTCTAAATACCAATGTAACAGCAGTGACCTGCTAGATGCTGTGCTCTTGAGTGTCCTCTAGAGAAGATAAACTATATTAATGCACACCTCTTTTTGTTTGTAGCGACAGGAGAAGCCGAGGAGACCGTTATGACAGCATGGTGAGTACCGTCCGTTTACAGGTGCTGCTGTAACGCTCAGCTCCACTGTGTGGTTGTAGCTTCTTAGCTGCATAGTGGTTGTTTGTGAATTATGTTTCAGATGAGGTGACACAAATTTCTTTTTTTCTGAGTGTAGTACAAGCACAGAGGCACAGACACTGTCCTGCTTTTTTCACTGTGTATGCACACTGATCTAGGCCTGTTGTTGCCTGGCAACAGTTGTCTCCTTGGTTACCGCAGAGCAGCTGAGTACGTAGTCCAGAGATCCACCAGGCTAGCAAATGAACTTGAGCTGAAACCAAAGCAATTCCTGCACAAAGTGTTCCAATACGAAAGCAAAGAATACATTTAATCAGATAAACAGCAACGGGTGTCATTGAATTCCTTACATTTAAGGACAAACGTGGTGGCTTGCATTGATATAAATATGAGTAATAATAATGTGTCTTCACTCATAAAGGCCACTCTGACTTTACTTATAAAATGAAAGAAGTATATCTTTTTTCATTTATGCAACTAAAAGCTTCTTAAATCAACATTTGCCTTAAAGCATATGGAAATGTTATAAGTTAACGCAAAACATTTATCAGTAATGATGATAACTTTATGGTACTGACCTTGTTCTCATTCTAACTTTTACAGGAATGTATTCCGGCATGACTTTATGGGGTTAATGCAGAATATTACTGTGTATTTAAATGCCCCAAATATGGCCAATTAATTCTTCGGTAAAATTAGGACCAAAGTCATATCCCAGATTGTTGAAAGCACCAGCACTAAATAAGTTGGAATATTTTGACCCAGTTTCAAAGTTCTTGAAGTGGATGCCTTTGACTGTTTTAATGTAAACCAGTGCAATGACGTGCAGTGTGGTCCAAACGTCTGAGACCACTTTCCTCTGTAGTTCTTAAAACATCAAACCATTTAGTAATTTTGACTGTCAGCTTTTATCTTTTACGTAGTATATTCTATAATCTTCTGTTCTTGTGGAATCTGAATCACACCTCCTGCTGTTCTCCTCAGGCCCCTTTTTTCAGAATAACCAGAAGTCCAAGGGCTGGGTGAACTCTCTGGTCTTCTCAGTATTTAACAGAAATACTTTGTGGGATGAAACAGTCAAATAAAAAAACTTAGACTCACAGCAGCAGCTGTCAAAAGAAGAAAAAATTCAGTTCTTACTGTTGATGCCTGGAGGCAGCACAAGTGTCAGAATTGCTTGATGTATTCGTTCGCTTGCCTTTAGACAGCTCACATCAACATGTCTACAGCTGCATCACAACTTACTAGTTCTTGCTGAGGCCTGGGACACACAGTGCATGCGTCACACGTGCGTGGCGGTCCAGGAATGTCTTTGGGTACGTCTTGGTTAGAGCAGCCTGCATGAGACATGTGTGTGAGACACTGCTCACAACTTGCTGCTGCGGCGTGTTTAAAAGTTCAAATCACGTTATTGCTTCCTGGCTGCAAAGCTTCGCTTTTCAGACTGCTGATCAACAATGGTTGATTATTATTATTGATTACACCATCAAAAGCAAACTTGGTGTAAAGAGACAGGGCTGTCAGCAGACTCATGGTGGTGTGGAAACAAGTGTGAGCTGCAGCAGTTCAGCTGCATCAATGACAGTGTGCGTCACTGTGGGAATCTGAAAAAGTAATGTTTTGTTTCTGTGAGTCAGCTTTTTGGTACAAAACGCTTTTTGTCTGTGAGCCTTCATCACCATTATCCTTATTCGAGATCAGGTGCATCCTTTCATTGGCTTTTTGCGGTTAAAGACACTGAAAAATCACTCTCCCCAGGATCCTCCCAAAGTTACTTGATATGGTTTTAGTGTTTCTCAGATTTTAACCCAGTAATGCACTTTTCAGATAAAATGGGACATCTGAAACATGAATGTCGCTGAATGGGACTGCTTAATGCTGTGTGATAGGAACTGACTCAGATCCTTGTGGAACATTTCCAGCACCTTTCGGAATCTGTGCTAATTCAAGCTGTTATGGATACAAGAGTAAATCCTAACCAGTATTGGACATATTGTTTGTCATATTGTAGAATAGATATAGAGATTTTGGCTCTTTAGACAAAATGTTATCATAGAATGCTATTATTTTTGTGATACTAAAACAATTTTTTTCCCCCCCTAATTGATCCTGAACGGCAGAGTGGAGGCGGATATGGTGAGTTTACATATTTATTTTAATCCTGCACAAATCTATTCATCAAATGAAAATCCTGTTGTGTTTTGGTAACATAGGTTTTCTTTACATAGCTTTGGTCATCATCTTTTCAAATATGACATGTGGTGGCACATTAAACTCAGTCTCTTTATGACACAGTGCTCTAGAGAGCAAGTTAAATTATAAGTTTTAAATCAAACTATACAAAGATGTAGATGTTTAGGCTAATACCAAAACTGTCAATCAACATATTGTATTACAGAGACAGTTTTCCTGGTTCATCTTTGGACTACTGTATTTAACAATATGTGCACGCAATGTATGGATGATTATAACAGGAAATCCAGTGTATGTTTCCCCTTCTTGTCTAAATATGTTCAGGATAATTTGGTTGAAATGAGATTTTAATATTTAATTCAAGAATTACCTGAGATACTGCTGCTGTTTAAAACCTGTGTGGTTGCCTGATCGCTAATTTCAACATGTAGTAAAGATATGGCTGCGAGTTTTTACACGTCATCACATGTCTCCTTGGAATCACGTAGGGGAATAATTATTACTAAAGAAAAATATGCACTTTAAGAGTAAATGGAGGGAAAAGTTTATCTTGAAGATTTCTGTCTGTATTTCTTGTTTATTATGCAACTATCTCCTGTCTTTGTCCCACTGGTGTATTTTCAATGTCTTCAAAGACAACAATTCTTCCTGGGAGCACTTTCAGTCTGGTGAGTGGGGATGGATCGTCACTGTCCCTCTGTCTTCTTTCCTAACCTTAAAGGATCGTTTCATGTTGTTGCATGATTTATCTAAAGACACAATCCCCCTAAATGTGCTCCCTGTCCTCACAGGTGGCAGAGGGTCATACAGTGATATTGGAGGCCCAGTCATTACGACACAAGTCACCATCCCAAAAGATGTAAGTGAAAAGGCATCAGTGTGCATGTCAAACACATGACTTTGACTGTGAAGGAACGACACCACTAAAACCGTTTGTGTGCTTGTTGTGCAGCTGGCTGGCTCTATCATTGGAAAGGGCGGCCAGAGGATCAAGCAGATCCGCCATGAGTCTGGGGCATCCATCAAGATTGATGAACCACTAGAGGGCTCTGAGGACCGCATCATCACCATCACAGGAACACAGGACCAGATCCAGAACGCCCAGTACCTGCTGCAGAACAGGCATGTGTCTCTGAGATTAAACCTCCCCCAAAACTCTAAGCCACCCGGCTGCAGCAGCGTGGTGTCCTCTGACGACCTGTTTGACCATCCATTACTGGATGAAAGTAAACAGTTTTATTTGTTAGTTAACTTGAAACATAAAATAACTTTATTTCTGTAGTGATTAAATATTGATTGTACTAAACTGATACAACTATTACATCTGCTTCTTTAGATCAAAATCCGTTCTAAAACTGAACTCCAGCCTGTAACTCTGCCCAGTGCTGAAATAACCAGTCGATTATTTGATTCGACCGTTGACATAAAATGTATCTGATTTAAATTTGATAATCAATTTCAAAATTTTAAGATAAGATACACTTTATATATCGAACGCTGGGGAAATTCAATCGATACAGCAGCAGTCAGAATGAGCTAGACAAGAGAACATGTGAAAGTATAATAATAAAAAAATACATAGAATGTGACACACACCTTTAACGACAGATGGATATTTAATTGATTATATTGTATATTTTTGGAAGAAATATTATGATTTTATTCTTTCAAGGGAAGCAGACACACTTTATGGTTTGAGCTTTACAAATATGAAGACTTTCAAGATAATATCTCTGTCATTTTTACTTTGAGATGCATGGGCTCTAGGAAATTATATACAACTTTACTTTACAACATTTTTATTCATAAAACAATTGATGAAATACGTCACAGATGAATTGAAAATGAAAACAATAATGAGTTGCCTCTGTAATTAGTCAAACTTCATACATTAGATAAACGTTGAACTTTTCTTTATTCGGCCAGACTGTGTGAAGCTTGTGTTTTCTTAGACCTTTCTTGCATCTTGAAGAGTTTTCAGTTCACGCGTTTCTTTTCCCAAGTCACCAAGTGGCTAAGCTCGTCTCTGCACTCATAGTGCTTCTCGCAGGCAGGGTTTATTTTCAGCCTTGACCTTGGCATACTTTTTTTTAAACGTACAATTGTGCTCCTCATGAAAAATGACTTACAGTTTGCAGCATCCACCATTAACAGCCCCGACCCGTGTCATGTTCCTGGTAAAATAAATATCCTTAATGTCCTTAACCTTTTTGTTTGTGTCTTTCAGCGTGAGGCAGTACTCTGGTCGGTTCTTCTAGAAACAAGAAGAGTGAAGCCATGCTACTGTACGGTTTGCTCCTTCTATTCAGAGCCTATTTTCCTCTGCTTTGGGTAGAAGCGCCTCCTCCCCTCACTACCACACACTACGCCACCTATCTGTGCATTGGAAACTTTATTTAGAGGTTTTTTGAGAAAATCTTAAAGCTGTCAAACAGCAAACAAAAAGTCAACAATGTATTTCTGTGCTGGTGTTATAATTTTTTGGGAGACTGTTGTGCTGTCATTGGAGTAAACTCATATGTATGATAACTTCCGGTGTTGTGAGCCGCCCCCTGGCCCTTATCTCCCTCATTTCAGTACAGCATGCAGAATGTAATCTTTTTTGTAAGGAACACAGTGTGATTTTAGGTTGTTCCTTTTTTTTTTTTTTTCTCAAATGTTGAAGCACCCTCTCCAAATGAAGATGCATGTTCTCAAGAATGGGTAAAGAACCATTTAAATAATCTTTAATTTTTACACAACCCCCTTTTTCACTTTAAAATGAAGTACTTTTTGTAAAATGGGCTTTAAAGGAAATGTTTGACATTTTAGGAAATGTGTTTGTTCTCTGGGGCAGGTTTTACAAAGATAAACTTTGTTCCGCTGGATGCTACAGTCATACATTTCACAAAGCTTCGACTGCACCGGCGTTCCCGAAAACCTGTATTGCTTGTCAACTACATAATTTAATAAACATTGCTGGTTAGGTGGGTTGAGATCTGTCGACTGCCGAACATGTTCCACATGATTCACATCATTTTCATACCCAAACATTCACTGATCCTTGTTGCCTTATGGACGTGTAAATTCTCATCATGTTTCCCTGCTCAATTTTCAGGTTTTTCTTTCCATCATTTCCCAGTAAATCATCACATGTGAAGTCTAGTCATTTATATTTAGAAAAATCACTTCAATCAGTTATCAGAACTAGAACTGATCAATTACTGGGTGTCCGGGAAAATAATTAGTTCTCAATTTCTCAAATGTATTCATTCAGTGTGATTAATCTTTCTGAGTTTCCCATTAGTTAGTATGAATGTGTTTAGAATTCTTAGAAAAATATGCTGCCTGAGAATCTGTGGGGTTTTATTTACTACTATCTAAGTAATCCATTGATAGTTGTGCCTCCATTCATGGTTACACTGCAAGTAAGAGCTGCTTATAGTGTATTTGGTATTTAATTTCCAGATTGTAGTCAAATTTAGGTTAAAAAAGGCTAAAGTTGTAGCCCACTGTTTAACTGCTCACTAAATCAGGCCCTTTTTGTAAAGGTTGTTCATTTGTTAATATAAATAAAGACTATTGCTGTTTATAATGCAAATAAATCCCAGGGGTTGAATGGCTGGAATAAAAATGAATCATGTGGCTACTTTTATGATGATTGGGCAGGTGCAAGGCTCAGATTTACATTTGACCCCCTCACGAAACAAAAAAAAACTCATTTTCACTCATACAACTTCAGTTTTGTATGGATTATGTGTATAACGGGTGAGGCACTGAGGTTTGAACTCTGTCTTGGACAGAGCCAGTGCAGCCTGTTCCCCTTTGTTTCCAGTCTCTATGAGACCTAAACCTTTCTGCCACAAAACAAATAAACATCTTTCCCTCAATGTCAAACATTTGCTCTTAGGTGGAATAAATGTGCGATACAGCAAAAATACTTTTTTAAAGATGTTTTGCTTTTCATTTGAAAGACAAGGAGCTGTATAAAGTGTGTGTGTATATATATTTACATAGAAACTGATAATTTCATGAGTGCTTAGAATGGTACCAGACTACTTTCTACTTTCATGGAAGGACATGGAGCCAAAAGACAGGTCTGGCCATCTTTTTTTCTTTTCCTCTTTATTATTTGATTTATTTTCTACCGCTCTCCTGGATGGACTCGCTGTAATGCAACCTTAACATCTGTCCAGTTGGATCCATTAATTCTTTAAGTGACTGTTTAAAATTTGTAACCTTTTCTTTTTTTTTTAAATGTTTTTTGAAAGGATCTATTGAGATGCAGTTACATGTGAGGAGTTTGCAGCTTTATGAGTCCATAAGTGGTGCCTGTTTTTGTGTGTGTGATCATATCTATTTCTGTGTCAGATATCTGTACCTGCAGGTGTTGAGTAAATAAAGTCAGTGTTACACTTCACCAAGCCTGTGCTCTTCTTCCTCTTCCATCTCAACACAGGGATTATCAGTGGAGGATTGGTTTTCAGGGAAGGTGGTGTGTCAGGCTGTTGCACGACCTGTCACATGCATCCGTAGTTTACACCGGAAATTTGCTCCCATAATGTAATAGAGAAAGCCCACACGGTTTCCCATCAGAGCTCAGCCCTTCAGTCACATGGTTCACTGGAGGTTTTCACCCAGGAGAGGGAAGGAGACGAGAGAGGGGGCCAGGACGAGCACATCTGAGGACGCGCAGGAACATCAGCACCGTGCCTCACTTCCTTTTCCTCCTTTTAATCAAAGGACAACCCGTGGCGGAGGAATACCTTTTGTTTTCCCCGTCAGGAGAGAGACTTTAACCATGTTTGTGTGATTTTTGCAGCATGTAAAACTCCGCCATATTCAGCCCACCACGCCCGGAGCCCAGCCACCAGGGGTAAAACACTCGCTGCTTGTGTTGAAGTTGTTGCACAGAGTACATTTCCTCTGCACGGGAGAGGATCGAGGTTTGAAAAAGCAAACAAACTAACATCAGTGAGAGTTCACTTCCTTAAACTTGGTTGAGGCTCGCAGCTCGGGAGGCGGGGGTTAGTGTGCTGTTTCTTTGCAGCGGGATAGTGGAGGGGTTAATCACAAATGTACAGACTGCAGCATGTTTTCTCCTGTGTAACCGACACCATGTGTGCTTGTGGTTGTGTGCCTTGCCTCGGAAGAAGTGTGATCGTCCAGGAGCCATGATTCTTTGCTCGGTGGGAGCGTGCTGCCTCAGCCCGGAGGCCAAAGAGGCTCGACGGATCAACGACGAGATAGAGAGGCAGCTCCGCCGGGACAAGAAGGACGCCCGCCGGGAATTCAAGCTCCTCTTACTCGGTAAAGATAAAGTCTTTCTATTATTTATATAGTATATAAGTATTGCCTTCAAAACTTTATTTGTATTTTATTTTTAAACAGACCTAACAGAGACAGTGTTGTTCGTGAAATCCTAATGTGTAAAGAAAGCTGTAAAGTAGTTGAGTAAAGGTATAAAGTGGCAGAACATTCAAATACTTTTACTGATAAGTGTTTAAAGGAACCAACAAGCTGTACTGTACCGTTACTTTCCACCAATTAAACTTATGTAAGTCATTTCACGTAATGCACGTAAAACGTATTTGCATCTGTGAAATCAAAACATTGGTGTAATATGTACTACACCACATCAATACCACATCATTTGTAAAGTAGTCTGGTAAAGGTTACTGTTAATTTCCACCAAATAAACTTAAGTTAGTCACCAAAAATTCATGTCAGACTTAAATGCATCTGTGAAATCAGAGTATTGGTGTATTATGTTCAATACCACATCATCTGTAAAGTAGTTTAGTAAACGTGTAAAGAAACAGATAATTCAAATACTCAAAAACCAGAAAGTACCTAAAAACTGTAGTACAGTAAATTTATTTAGTTACTTTCCACCAAATAAACTAAATCATCTCACCAAAAATAAATTTGTTAATAATTTAAAGCTGTGAAATTAAAGTATTGGATTAATAAGTACACTACTACTAAGTATCAAGTGTCAGAAATTTAAAATCCCCTTGTACCACAAAACTGTGCTGTATGTAGTACAAAAAGTACTGCTCTTAGGTATATACTCATTCCCTTTCCACCAAACTAAATCAACTCACCAAAAATACAGGTAAAAGTTATTTACAGCAGTGAAATCAAAGTATTGGTGTGGTATTTACAGTATCACATCAACTTTCAAGTCGTTGTTAACGTTGTGGCTGAAAATCTAAATACTCACATGAGTAAGTCAAAACTGTACTCAAGTATTGTACTTAAAATAATATACTTAGTTCCCTTCCACTTAATGAACTAATGCAACTCACCACTCTTTTACAAGTAAGAGTCCGACATCCGGTCATTAGCAAAATCTACTTTGTGTACTTTCAGTTACAAACACTCAGATTGCATCAGAATGCCTCCACACACTGATATGTTTATTTAATACACTATATGATTATAAACACTGATGCATAAATGAGTGAAAATACTTCATCGCTGTAGCTGGTCAAGGTCCAGATAACTTACTCAAGTACAAATGTGAAGCACGTACTTTAATATTTCTGTTTATATTTAAGAGAAGTAATGACCATTTATTTGAGCAGCTAATTACTCACAGATGCCTGGAACATGACATGAGGCCCCAACTAGACAAAAAAATTTTGTCAGGGGTCATAAACTAAAAATGTTGGAAGCCAATGGTTTAAAATTTTAGCGGATTAAAAGTATAAAATAACTGGAATCATTCAAGTAAAACACATGTATCTCCAAACTCATATCAAGTACAGCAGCTTGGGGAATGTAATCAGTTACTCTGCACCACAGAATTTACATTTTTAAACTTAGTTTTGCCTCGACAAGCACAAAATGCTGCTTATATATTAATGCATCACTAATAATGCACTAATGCTCCAACATTAAAACTGTTCTTAAGTGCAGTAAATGGGCCTCCGCCACTGATGTGAACTTACTATTGATTAGAAACTCATTAGTCTGGTCGATTAAATAAATAATTGCTGTATCATCTTTGAAGTCCATGTTTTATTCCTGGTTCCTGACAAAGGGTGAATCAGCAGTGATGTTAGTTTAAGGTGTAAGGTGGTCACGTTGGTTGTTGTCATTGTGCTTTCAAGAATCACTGACTCATTATGAATGTATAACTACACTTCCAGGTTCAAAAGTAACTTCAAGTGTGCAGTGCTAAAAAAAAAGACTGCTTCTGCTAAAGAAATATTTTATTGGCCTGCTTGTATACTTTTGTATCATGCCAAATAGCCCTGTCAAGTGTAAACTGTTTCATACATTAGCATATGAATTTTACAGAGACTGAGAAAAATGTACAGTGCAATTTAAAGTCATAGAATATAGTAAGTGCCATGCTCTTATTTTCCCTGGGAACGGCTGTATTTGCAGTCATTTGCTGTCAACTGTCTGTACAGGAGGAAATGGTGCAACAACTTCTCCTAGTTCAGGTTTTTACAGACAGTCAGTGTTGAGATGACAAAAGACTGTTTGACTCTGAGAACAAACATTAGACCAGGGAACTAGATACAAGCCAGACCATTGTAAATAAGGTAATTTCAAGATTGCATAAGAGTGACACGTGAAAGTGCCTCAAGCACAGTACAGGCAAACTCTGTTGCTTTCAGTTAATGGATTAAGCTGGTGATATTCTGAATATTACACATTGGCAATGCATTCCATAATGATTTATAACTAATAATGATTTCATCCCATTAACAAGTCTTGTTTGTGCAGTGAAATCCTTATGTAGCTTATTCATCCAAGCCAGAGACCTCTGTTGTTGTCCAGTCCCCAACTACACTGATGGCTCTGTGAGGCTGTACTCAGACTCGTAGTGCTAATGCTAAGATGCTGATGTTCATCAGGTATTTGCGGCAATTTGCACTCAACACGAAGTATGGACCAAGCTGATGGGAGTGTCAGTTGTCTTGCAGGTTATTTGGTTGCAAGGCTTTACCCATAGACAAAATGAAGATGAACCCTGCCTCCTCCATGTTAGTGGATGGGTCATGGGTCTAACTACGGTGCTATAACCAAGCACAGACTCTGGCTCCGAATGCACAAGATGGCAGCATTCACGTCGAGGATATTTTGCTTTAATTCCTGGATAATGAGAGGACACGTCATCCATCTTTATATACAATCTATGGTTTGACCTAATGATAGTGCTAGGTATCAGAGGCTCACCAAAGTGATAACAATTCATTCAAAATGGAACATGAATGTGTACTGACTTTAAGAGACATTAGGTAAAACCAGGTGCTTCAGACAGAGGCTGAAAAGAGGAGCTGCAGCAATTGATAGTATGAGGAAAGTTTTTTCTTCATCTATTTTCTTCACCCTACAGCATCTAAACCTTTTTTAGTAATACCCCAAATTCTAATTAAAATCCCGAATATGAGCATAATATGTCTCCTTTTAAGCATTTTTGTTAAAAATGAATCAAGTACAACACCGTCCTTATTGTGAAAGTAAACATGCTTACAATTATGTTATTTATCTGGTGGTGGACAGGAACAGGTGAAAGTGGGAAGAGCACTTTCATCAAGCAGATGAGGATCATCCATGGCCGTGGATACTCTGAGGAGGACAAGAGAGGCTTCACCCGGCTGGTCTACCAGAACATCTTCACAGCCATGCAGGCCATGATCCAGGCCATGAACACATTACGAATCCCCTACAAGTACGAGCACAACAAGGTAGACCAGACTGTTGTTTCCCTGTCCTCTCCTTGCTTTCTCACTGACAGATTGAAAGAAGAGCTTTTACCACACACATCTCCACAGAAGCGAGCTCATGGTTTACAGTCCAACACTGAAAGAGCCTGCAGTGTATATTCCTGTGTATTCAGGGAGAAGTGCCTCTGGTAATTTTGCGTCATTGTTTATATTTAGGATACTGCTGCTGCCAGATTTGTGCCTACTTACAGAGCAGGCTGTCCTGTCATGTGGAAAGTACACATGATTTTATAGTGCAGGCTTGTAAGAACAGGTACGCCAAAAGAGGAGGGGCGAGAGAGAATCTCCCATTAATCATATAGGAATCTGTCCCTGTCACAGCGACAGCAGGAGCTTATTAATCAACCAAATTTGCTGGCTTACACAAACATGCTACATTAATAAAAGTTCCAGGTAAGACGGAGACCCAGAAGAGGAGAGTCCACTCGCTGTAGTGTCCTGTGACTGCACGAGGAGGCGGGGGGGGGGGGGGGTTATTTGGGTGTTATGGACCTTTGGCAGCATTAGCCAGGTCTGAGTCAGCATGTGGATTACAGTTTGTTTTACCAGTGAGGATGAATAACAGCACATCACCAACCATGTAGATATTAATACTGAAGGCCGGAAAGGAGAAGAAGCCTATATGTCACGTGACAATTCATTAAACCCCTCCCCCAAACAGTGATTGTCCAAT